TTGTGAAATGTTATAAAAATCAAAAATTTGAACGTGACAACTATGGTGATTCGCGTGATTTTGAAGTGAAATGCGTCTTTAGAATATTCCATGTGGGTTACCACCTTTTGTGGATAAACTACCGTCAATGGCACAACAACAGCTGCGAGGCGTTTGGATGGCATACAGAGACGGCGAAAATTGCGGATTGCAACAAGCCAAAACATTCGAAATCATCCGCGGACTCACTGAAACTGAACGCAGCTCCATCTTTGGTCAACAACAATCAATTGCACAACGAGCGCCTTCGGGTGGGTAGTTCCATGACAAATTTAAGCATAACGTTCACGTTCAACGTGTGTGACGCTGTTTTTGTCTTAAAAATAGAATGACAAATATTTGTGTTTTGAAATATTTGAATACTTGATACTGAGTACTGAATACTTGAAAATACTTGAAAAATGACAAATATTTGAAATAAACCTTTAAAAGAAACATTTCAATAGCTCAAAACCTAAATGGTGAACGAGAAAAATTAATTAGAAATGTAAAAATTGATGGCAATCGTAATTGATCGAAGCGTAATTGTCCAGATCAAACGGCAGCAACGCCCGAATTAATACCGATGTTCATACGAACAAGTTCACCTGAAGTGCGAAGACAATTTGATGNTTTTGATTGCTTACAAGCAAGAATACCGATATGCGATCGACGTTGGCGGTGTAAGAAAAGTATTCGAAATTTCAGTTCGATCGGAATCCGAGCGAATTCACATTCTGAGATTCAGACATTCGGAATTCCGACCGAGCTTCAAAAATGTCCGGTTAGAATCCGAATGATGGAATTCCGAGCGAAATTTGTCGGACTTTTCCGACCGAACTTCGCTCGGATGCCATCACTATCTTTTAACTGCGTTGTCGACGCCAGTCTTCAACTGGTTAATTGATACAGTCTCCGAAAAATGATTGATTTGTTGATGTTTGAGTTGTGAATATCAAAAGTTGAACACTTTAAGCTGACCGATTTCAAAAAGTGGATCGCAACGATACGAGCGCAAAAGTCTCAGTTGGATGCACGCATCAATGCACTACCACCTGAGGCACGTAACGCCTTACAGCAAATTGAATCGCTGCGTGCCAAAGAACGTCAAATTATACAATCGTTGAATCCGCTCGTAGCAAACCAACTGATTGGTATTCTTTGAAGGGACCACAACACTTCGATCCATTAACAAACACATTGATAACTGCGATAAATTACGATATTATTATACTTTCATCTCATTGTCAATTATTCGATACAACGTATTCACGTTTAACCCATTCCATTACGATACACATGCAATAATAATGTTTTTTTCAGAAGAAATCATTAAACTGTCTATAGGAATTATTCACTGATTAATCTTTGTGTTTGCGTTCAACGGAAATTTTGAAAAACATTTTAGAAGCTTAAAGGATGAGATTCGAAAGGTAATAAACGATTCGGTGAATTAATTAATGAATTGCATCGTTATTATTGAGCGTGATACTTTTGTATGTGATAATCATTTGACAGAG